TTTCATTATTAGTGTCTAAATAAGCAACAGATTTCTGTGTATTGATGTTGTATTCCACAACTTTACTGAATTAATTTATTAGTCCTAATAGTTTTTTGGTGAAGTATTTAGGGTTTTCTATATCTAGTATCATGCCTTTATAGAGAAGGACTTTTTCTTCATTCTTACCAATTTTAATGCCTTTTATTTCTTTTTTATGTTTGATTACTATGGCTAGGATTTTCAGTACTATGTTAAGTAACAGTGGTGAGAGTGGGCATCCTTTTCTTGTTCCTGATATTAAAGGAAAAGCTTTCAGCTTTTCACAATTGAGTATGATGTTAGTTGTGGGCTTGTTATATATGGCCTTTATTATGTTTAAGTATATGTTCACTCTACACAAGCTTTGGTGAGAGTTTTTTTATCATGAATGGATGCTGAATTTTGTCAAATGCTTTTTTAGCATTTATTGAAACAATCATGTAAATTTCTATCCTTTATTTTGTTAATTTGGTGTTTCATGTTCATTGATTTGCATATATTGAATCATTCTTTCACCCTTTGAATAAATCCTACTTCTTTGTGATCAATGATCCTTTTAATGTATTTTTGAATTCAGCTTGCTAATATTTTCTTGAATATTTTTACATATGTGCATCAAGGACAGTGGTGTGTATATTTTTTTGGAGTTTCTTTTATTTTTATTTATTTTTTTTTTTTACAAATAGTTTATTGTCAAATTAGTTTCCACATAACACCCAGTGCTCATCCCCACAAGTGCCCTCCTCCATGTAGTTTCTTTTTTAGTTTGTCTGGTTTTGGTATTAGAATTATGCTGGCCTCATAGAATGAATTTGGAGGGATTTTTTGTCCTCTGATTTTTGGAATAGTTTGAGAAAGATAGGAATTAACTCTTATTTAAATGTATGGTAGAGGGGCGCCTTGGTGGCTCAGTTGGTTAAGCACCTGACTTCACCTCAGGTCATGATCTCACAGTTGGTGGGTTTGAGCCCTGCACTGGGTTCTGTGCAGGCAGCTCAGAGCCTGGAGCCTGTTTCAGATTCTGTGTCTTCCTCTCTCTCTGCCCCTCCCCTGCTCACACTATGTCTCTCTCTGTTTCAAAAATAAATTTTAAAAAACTACTAAAAATTTTTTTTAAATAAATGTTTCATAGAGGGGTGACTGAGTGGCTCACTCTGACTTCAGGTCGGGTCCTGATCGCGTGGTTTGTGAGTTCAAGCCCCATGTCAGGCTCTGCTGACAGCTCAGAGCCTGAAGCTGGCTTCGGATTTTGTCTTCCTCTCTCTCTGCCCCTCCTCTGCTTGTGCTCTCTCTCTCTCTCTCTCTCTTAAAAATAAATAAACATAATAAAATAAAATAAATGTTTGGTAAAATTCATCTGTGATGCCATCTGGTCCTGGACTTTTGTTTGTTGGGAATTTTATGTGTTTTTTTTTTAAATTACTGATTCAATTTCACCACTAGAAATTGGTCTGTGCAGATTTTCTACTTCTTCCTAATTTAGTCTTGAAAGATTTCATGTTTCTAGGAATTTATTCATTTCTTCTAGGTTGTCTTATGATTTTCTTAAAAAATTCTCCCTTATCAATTTTATTTCTCCTTTGCCATTATTATTCCTTATATTTGCTCTTTCTGCCTTTTTTCTTGAAAAGAGAAGGTTGTGGTTTGTTCTTTTTTTTCTAGACGTTTCTCTTGTATAAATCATATAATTCGGTGTTAATTTGTGGCAAAATTGAAAAAATATTTTTATTTTTAGGGATGAGCTGAACTTATTCATATTGATACTACTGATTTTTTGGTCTAAAATTTTCCAAATATTTATAATTAAATGTACTTTAACTACTCTTTTTAAAATTTTGTTGGTGGTTCTTACTTGCTCTCTTATACATCAATTATTCATTTATTTAGGAAGCTTTGTTTTTAGAGACATGATATAGTGATTTATGATAAATATATATTTAGTTTTTATCCAGGGTTCCTGGAACATAGTTCTTAAAACACCGTACTTCCTGTGTAAGAGACAGAGAGGCACATTTTGTTATAATATTTAGTTGTTTCTAGTTCCTAAAATAGCTGCAAATTAATAAAGGTGAAATAGTTGTCTTTTGTTATGCTTAACAAGCCCCTCTCAGCTACACTTGCATTTATATTAATGAGGGAACTTTTGAAAAGACTTTTGGAGGGCGAGGTCTGGTTGCCAGAAGCTCTAACCACATGATCTGATGGTTCATGCTTTCAGCTTCACCCACTATCTTCTGGGGAGGAGGGGGAGGGGTGGAGCTGGAGGTTAAATTAATCACAGATGGTGAATGATTTAATCACTCAGGCCTATGTAATGAAGCCTACAAAATCCAGAAAAGATGAAATTGGGAGAGCTTCTGGGTTAATGAACACACGGAGGGGCTCATTTTCACATACCTTGGCCGATATATGTCGTCTATCTGACTTTCCCTGAGTTATATCATTTTACAACAAACTGGTAATACAGTAAATAAAATGATGCCCTGAGTTCTATGAGCCACTTTGGCAAATTAATCATATCAATGATGAGGTCACAGGAACCTCAGATTATCTCTGGCCAGTCAGAAGCACAGACTAACCAAAAGTCTATCAAGTTTTGAATGAATGAATAACTTCAGCGATAAAATATTCATGTGCTCAATACCATTGAGCAATATAAAGGAAAAATACTTTTACACATAAGAGCACAGCTACATCTCACAGACTTAATATTGAGAGAAAGGTACCAGATACAAAGGAGCACACCGTGCCTGGTTCCATTTTATGGAGAGCAAAGGCAGCAAAACTAATCTATTCTGATAGATTTCAGAATAGTCATTATTTTAGGGAGGTATTGCCTGGGAGGAGCATGAAGGAGCATTCAGGTTGGAAATAATCTACATTTTGAAACAAATGGCAGATTCATGCATAATTACAACTAAGGATTCTGTGTAATGCTATAGGTATGGTTCATAGAAGAAAAGCAAACAAAGATAAAGACCTTTCAGGCTGCACTCACTCAGGCGGGGAAGGCCAGGTGCTTATGGCCACTCCCACGCTGATCATTCCAGGCCACGCTGACCATTCCAGGGGCCCGGCTGGGCTGGGCAGGGCAGAGTAGGGTAGGGTAAGGTCAGGTTAGGTTCCGCTGGGCTCTTTTCCCTCCAGGAGCCAAGTAGGAGCAGGATTGCTGAAGTCTCCATAGCAGGACACTCTGTCCTCTGCCTTCCCTTCCTCCTGGTTCCTAAGAGAAGCTTGCATTGCTGTTCTGTGGTTCCAGGTTCAGGTAAGTGATTCTGGGAAAGACGTAGCTTGGAGCGTCTTGTCTTTTTTTTTTTTTTTTTAATGTTTTATTTATTTGTTTTGTGTGCGTGTGTGTGAGAGACAGAGAGAGAGAGAGAGAGAGAGAGAGAGAGAGAGCGTGAGAGCAGGGGAGGGTCAGAGAGAGAGGGAGACACAGAATCTGAAGCAGGCTCCAGGCTCTGAACTGTCAGCACAGAGCCCGACGTGGGCCACGAACCGTTGAGATCATGACCTGAGCTGAAGTCGGACACTTAACCGACTGAGCCCCCCAGGCGCCCCTGGCGTGTCTTGCCTTCCAGTTGATTTGCCGAGGCAGCTGGTGAGAGTAGTGAGAGTGGGTTGAGAATGAGGGACGGGAAGCTTACCCCCCTCTGTGTTCTTGTGCCCTTCCCCAGAGGAGCGGTCCGGGGGTGAGAATGGCTTTGTGTGGGTTGGGGTGGGGGGTGAAGAGCATGTATGGTCGCCCTGGTGTTCTGTGTTCTCCTGATTCCCACGCGTAGCCTGGCAGCCTCTTTCTGTGATTTCTCAGTCCTCACTGTCTTTATTTCCTCCCTTCACATTCCCTGAAGTCTCTGTTCTCAAACATACGCCTCTGATGCAGGACGCCAAGAGAGGACATGTCAGAGTCGTCAGGTAGTTGCTGTGGGGTTCCGGTCAGCCAGCTCAAGCTCCTGTCCTCAAAACCATCCCAACTCCAGACCTTGTCAGTACAAGGAAACCTGCCCATGGGTGGTCAATTGCATGAGCCCTTGTTGCTTTGGTCCTCATCACCAGTGATGGTCACTGAAGACAGGGAGGGGTAGGACTAGATGATCCACAGAACAAATAACTTCCTCCCTTGGCAAAAATGGTGACACGTGAACTAACAACTCAGTATTTACAAGCAGTCAACTGGAAAGAATTTCCAGAATCGAGCAATATTTGCTCACCTAGGCTCCCTCCAACTCTAAGCAAAAAGTACAATTAATGAAGCAAAGCATACAAATTATAGCAGGCACTGTGAAGTCATTAAAGGTGCTCCATTCCAGGCATAACAACCTCTTAATGATATCTGTTGCTCAGAGAGCCATCACCTTTGAATACTATAACCTGTGTGGTTGCACTTTACAAACAGTGACAAAGGCTTACAAGGCAAATAGATAGTGAAATATTACATAGCAAGTAGTTTGGTGGACAATAATGATGCCCGATGAGTCCTGTGTCTCTGTGAGCACACCTTTTGTAATGGATCTTTTTTTTCTCCCTTCAAAGGTTGAATTTATATCTCTACATGCTGATCTTTGGCTGGCTTGTAACTAGTTTCTTTTCTTCTTTTATTTCTTAATTTATTTTGAGAGTCAGCAAGCAAGCAAGCAAGCCGGGTGGGGTGGGGTGTGTGTGTGTGTGTGTGTGTGTGCGTGCGCGTGCGCGCGGGTGCACACATGTGTGACAAAGAGACAGAGACAGAGAGAGACAGAGAATCCCAGTCAGTCTCTGTACTGGCAACACAGAGCCCAATGTGGGGCTCAATTCCATGAACCACAAGACCATGACCTGAGTGGAAATCGAGAGTCAGATGCTTAACCAACTGAGCCACCCAGGTGTCCCAAATAACTTGTTTCTATTTACAGGATGTTTCAGATGTGACATTGCTCACCTTCCAAGGCTAAGCCTTAATATACCTTGTGGGTTTCTGTGTTTGTCCTTTAGGAACCTTGACCTGTCCATGCTCTGAAGAATTTAGGAATGAGTGACCCAATGGAGGGATAGGCCCAGCGAGTCTAAGCTGCTATTGCAGCTGGTACCAGGTCCACGTGAGAGGGCATCTTAGATCACCCCGGCTCAGCTGTGTGTATTTGCATGAGTGACCTCAGGTGAGCTCAGTGGAAGACACTCCTAGTCAACTTAAATCATGGGAAATAATAAAAGATTATATTTTTAGGCACTTACATTCAAGATGGCCTGTTATGGAGCCAGAGCTTGAGTTCAGTCTTGGTAAACTTTAGCCTGATGAGATCAGACTACTTATTTGGTTCATGGGTTTAAGCAATTTATTTAACTTCTGTGAGCTTCACTCTTCATGTATAAATGTGTGATATAAGTAAGTACTGTCTTCTTAGGTTTTTTAGTTGATTAAATGAGGTAATACATGTATTCTTAACCAACTCTCTGTATTGTCACTGTGGAACAAAGCCTAGTGGGAAAAAAGTACTAGAAATGCTTATGTAGAATTCAAAATTTTACTACATCTGACTTAAAGTTTTTTTTGAACAATCCTAGGAAAGGCTTTGAAACATTTAAAATACACAGTGGACCAAGAGTCAAAACATTTCTCACAAATAATCAGCAAGGATATGATGGAATCTATCATTGAAATCAAATAGTGTTTCCAATATATTTACTGATGGCATAATGTTTTTTATAAAATACTTATGTGGAAAAAGTTTATGAGAAAATGGCTTAAAGTTTGATGTCAACCTACAACATTTATATAAACACAGTTAAAAATATGAAATAATGTACTTCTAAATTTTAAAATAAAGACTTTATCTGCATTATAGGGTTACTGATATTTATATGCTTCCTACTTTTTAGGTGTTTTCCAAATTGTTGTACAATGACTAGAAATTACCCTCATGGTCAGAAAAAAAAGATAAATTAATAAAAATGTTTTTCCTTGACAGAATTTTGAAGAAAGAAAAACTTGTCAGGATGTAACATTTGTTCTTGGCAATTATTTTCCCACTTTTGAGCTCCCTGAACCATTTCAGTTAGAGTCCTTGCCTTTCCATTTTCCTTATTCTTAACCCTCATAAATGCTAACATTAGAAATTATGAAGATAATATATTTACTTTAGACATGTGACAGAGTTAGAGTTATCAAGGAACTTCCAGAAGGAACACATAATCACTAAGTGTTAGCTGAAATTGTGAGGATTTTAGGACCTGTGATATGTTTTGACTAGAGTGCTTTGGGACCATATATATTCCTCCTTCTCAACTATTGTATCTGTATCAGTTTAACTATCGATGCATAATTAAACTGTCCCAACGCAATGTGTAACTATTATTTGTTACCTCTACAGTTTGTGGTTTGTCAAGAAATCACTTGATATATGCTGGGCCTGGCTGAGGTGAATCTGCTCCAAGTTTGTCTCATTATGCTCTGGACACCAAGAGGTGAGTCTGGGCATACCTTTCCCATGGTACTTGCAGATGCAAGAATTTGTAGAAATATGCATGAAGCCTAGGTTTGGAACTGGCACCTCATCAGTTCCACTTTATTCTGATTACCAAGTCAAGCTATGTGGCCAAGGTCCGTTTCAGGGAATGGGCAAGGAGACTTACTCAGCATGAAAGGACATTGCAAAGTTTCGTTCATGGCAGAGGGCATGGGTACAGCAAGGAGTGAAGAATTGGGGACATGAATGCAGTCTGCCATGTGAGACTTCTCTCTATTTACTGTATTAGGAAATAGATTTATTCACTTTGGTAAACTAGCTTTACTTAGGTTTATGCAAGATGTTATATTCAGAGTAATTAAAACTACTTTTTAGTAAACAAAATTATCTTCACCATTTGCAAGTTTAAATACCGCTAATACTGCATTTATAATTTTAAATATCTATGTGCTAGGTGATGCATCCATTATTTCAATTAGCACAATAACCTTTTGAAGCATTTATTGCTACTCCATTGAAGACAAAAGAGACATGCGTGCAAAAAGGTTCTATAATTTGCCACAAATAGTACAGCTGTCAAGTGGCTGATACAGCATTGTAAATAATGTCTGGCTACCACAGGATGAACAGTCATTAAACCAGTGTCTCCTAATTTACTCTCCTTTCGTAAATATTAGAATTATATATTTCTTAAATCCTATGTTGGACTAAATATATAAAAAGAAAATAGATATCTTTGTTTCCTATTTGAACCTCATTGCTGACTCTATCCCCACTGCATATGTTACCGGTATTTTCATGCTGAGAATGATATTATTTGTTGAGGAAAGAATTACAAACCACTGCAAAGCCATTGAGCACTTCTCATGTGTCCCCGTGGTCTCATTCTTACTTAGATGTGTGTAGGGAACATAGAAGCATAGCTGTCTCTACTCCCATTATTTCAGGTACATGTGGGAAAATTATGGACTTTGTGCATGTGAATCCCACATGCAATTTTGAAAAATTACTCCCTTGTCCATATTCTACCAGATCTAAAATGAGATGCCCAAGGTACATGCGCATAGTGTTTAACATCTGGTCATTTTCTTGCGCTGTCTCCTGTTTCAATAAAATCCTTGGAATATTTCCAATTGCAGTCACATCAATTCCCAGAATCCTTGTAAAAATTTACTTATAAGAATATGATGTAAAGATTAAACTGAAAAGTGCTATGTAAGCAAAACATTATTACAGTCGTGGCTGCCAGTAAGCATTTGTGGCATCTCAGACTAGCCCATTGTTCTAATCACAGTGTAGCCATTTATTTCATTTCTCTCTTCCTGTGAGGAGGAAGAGATACACTCTAGCCCATTTATTGGTGCTTGTACTGTACAAGTCACTATGCCAGGCATTGTGACAACACGTGAATGTGATCCTTGACCTTGAGGAACTCAAGAGAGGAGAGAGTCATTTATGGAAGCTCTTAGAAGGACAACTATGAATGGAGCTATAATGGAGGTATACAGAGTTGTATGGAAGCATAATGAAGGAAGATAGGACAAAATGTCACAAGCTAGCTTTTGAGGTCTGAGTAGGATTTTGATATGATAGAGAAAATAAACATGGGTGAAAGAACAGAAAAAATGGATTACATTATGTTATGTAGACTCGTGGAGACAAAGTAAACTGTGTAGGCAAAGGAGCATGGGTTAAGGCAAGGGATATAGAGTGACGGAAGGGATGAAAGAGGAGAGGTAACTAAATAGGTAAGCTCAAGAGTGGAGGGATTAAACCCCTTACTAATGAATCCGAACTTTACCTTTTACATCAATTGCCTCCACGTACTTTATTAAGCAGCTTTATTGAGGTATAATTGATGTACTAAAAAATCTACATATATTAAATTTATTTAATTTGCTAAGTCTGGACATATGCATACACCTAGATACTATCCCCACAATCATGCCTTGTTTGCCTACTTTGTGATATGAATGCTTAACATGTAATCTACCATCTTCAAAATCTTAAATGCACTATTACCATATTGTTGACCATAGGCACTATATTGCACTGCAGACCTCTAGAATTTATTCATCTTGAATAGCTAAAACTTGGGAAGTTATTGTTCAATGAGTACAGTGTTCTACGTTTATTCATGTGCTTTGCTTGCTTACATTTAACAGTTAAAACAATTGAGAACACACCCAATACCACTATATGTATGTTGATAAAATCCATACATGAATTACAAATGGAGTGTATATCGCATTAAAATATATGGAAATAGACTTTGAAAATGGAGAGATGTTAATCAAAGAACACACCCTTCAGTAGTAAGATGAATATATTTTGGGGGTTTAAAGCATTACATGGTGACTATATTTAATAGTATTGCATAACATACTTGAAATTTACCAAGACAGTAAATCTTAAGTGTTGTCACCACATTAAAAATAAATGGTAACAATGTAAGATGATGAATGTGTTAATTAGCTTGATTGTAGTAATCATTTCACAGTGTGTGTGTGTATTAGATCATCACTTTGTACACCTCAAATATCTAGTATTTTTGTCATTTATATTTCAATAATGCTGAAAAACAAATGGACTCTATGAGCTAAAAAAAATAAACCATTCAGAAAATTATTAATGGACTAAATTGTTTTAATGAATTAATGTTAAATGTGATTAAATAGGCTTAATTATTACTACTTTTTCAAAATTTTCATTTTAACTCTAGTTAACACAGCGTTATATTAGTTTCAGGTGTACAAAATAGTGATTCAACACTTCTGTACCTCACAAAGTGTTCATCATAAGTGTATTCCTTAATCCCCATCCCTTATTTCACATCCCCCACCCGCCTCCCCTCTAGTAACCATCATTTTATTCTCTATAATTAAAAGTATGTTTCCTGTTTGTCTTTCCCTCTAGCTCTTTCTTTCTTTTCCTTTTGCTATTTTGTTTCTTAAATTCCACATATGAGTTAAGTCATGGTATTTGTCTTATTTTGCTTAGCATTATACTCTCTAGCTCCATGCATGTCATTGCAAATGGCAAGATTTTATTTTTTTAAGGCTAAATAATATTCCAGAGTGCACGTGTGTGTGTGTGTGTGTGTGTGTGTGTGTGTGTGTGTGTAATATCTCCCTATTTTGGCTATTTTAAATGCTGAAATAAACATAGGCATGCAGGTATCCCTTTGAATTAGTGTTTTTGTATTCTTTGGGTAAATATCCAGTTGTACAATTCCTGGATGATAGGGTAGTCCTACTTTTAACTTTTGAGGAACCTCCATACTCTTTTCCAGAGTGGCTGCACAGTTTGCATTCCCACCAACAGTGCATGAGGGTTCCGTTTTCTCCACATCCTTGCCAACACCTGTTGTTTCTTGTGTGGCTGATTTTAACCATACTGACAAGTATGAGGTGATATCTCAGTGTAGTCTTGATTTGCATTTCCTTGATGGTAAATGATGATGAGCATCTTTTCAAGAGTCTGTTGGCTGTCTTTATGTCTTTGGGGAAATGTCTCTTCATGTCTTCTTCCAATCTCTTGACTGGATTATTCACTTTTTGGGTATTGAGTTTTATAAGTTCTTTCTGTATTTTGGATACTAACCCTTTATCAGATATGTCATTTACAAATATCTTCTCCCATTCCAGAGGCTGCCTTTTAACTTTGTTGATTCCTTCCTTCACTGTGCAAAAGCTTTTTATTTTGATGTAGTCCCAATAGTTTATTTTTGCTTTTGTTTCCCTTGCCTCAGGAGATCTATCTAGAAAAAAGTTGCTGTGGGATGTCAAAGAGGTATTGTCTATTTTTTCTTCTAAGATTTTTATAGATTCAGGTCTCACATTTAGGTCTTTGATCCATTTTGATTTAATTTTTGTGTAAGGAGTAAGAAAGTGGTCCCATTTTCCCAGCACCATTTGTTGGAGAAACTGTCCTTTTCGTAATGGATATATTTGCATGCATTGTGGAAGATTGATTGGTCATATGGTTGTGGGTTCATTTCTGGGTTTTCTATTCTGTTCTATTAATCTATGTGTCTATTTTTGTGCTAGTACATTACTGTTTTGATTACTACAGCTTTGTAATAGAATTTGAAGATCAGAATTTTGATGCCTCTAGCTTTGCTTTTCTTTTTCAAGGTTGCTTTGGCTACTTGGGGATTTTATGGTTTCATACAAATTTAGGATCATTTTTTTCTAGTTCTGTGAAAAATGCTGTTGGTATTTGATAGGGATCGCACACAATGTGTCAATTGCTTTAAGTAGTATAGACATTTAAGCAATATTTGATTTTCCAATCCATGAGCATGGAATGTCTTTCCATTTCTTTGTGTTCTCTTCAATTCCGTTTTATAAGTGTTTTACATTTTTCAGAATGCAGGTCTTTTACCTCTTTCATTAGGTTTATTCCCAGGTATCTTATTATTTCTAGTGCAACTGTAAATGGGATTATCTTCTTAATTTATCTTTCTGCTGCTTCATTATTGGTATATAAAAATGCAACAGGTTTATGTGCATTGATTTTGTAGTCTATGACTTTACTGAATTCATTTGTCAGTTTTAGCAGATTTCTGGTGGAGTCCTTCCGATTTTCAATATCTAATATGTCATCTACAGATAGTGAAGGTTTGACTTCTTTCTTGCCAATTTGGACGCCTTTTCTTTCTTTTTGTTGTCTCATTGCAGTGTCTAGGACTTCTACCTATGTTGAATAAAAGCGGTGAGAGTGGACATCATTGTCTTGTTCCTTACCATCGAGGAAAAGCTCACAGTTTTTCCCCATTGAGGATGATGTTAGCTATGGACTTTTCATATATGACCTTTAATATGTTGAAGTATGTTCCCTCTAAACCTAATTTGTTGAGGGTTTTTATCATGAATGAATATTAAACTTTGTCAAATGATTTTTCTGTCTATGAAATGACCATAGGGTTCTTATTGTTGTGGTGTATCACACTCACTGATTTGAATATTGAACCACAGTTGCAACTCAGGAATAAAT